CGCGGGGCTTCCCCCGAGCGCGGGGGGTCCCCCGGGGCGGAGGGGCGCGGGCCAGGGGGAGGGGCCGGCGACGTACACCCTCCGCGCTGGCATCCTCCCTTGCCGGGCAGTCTCCGCGCCGCGGGGTGGGGGTGGGGGGGCCAAGGACGCCCCACCTCCGCTTCCTACGCGGCTCCTTTCGCTGTCGGACGGCCAGGCGGCGTCTGCACGGGTTCATAAGCAGATGAGCGGTGACCAGAACTTAAGAAGCCAGGGACAACCAGAGGGATGACTTAGGCGCTAGATCCAAACAACCACCCCTCCCCATAAGTACTATAGTGAGAACACCTCCACCTCCATGTTTTCTTCTTTTTCCCCCTCTTTCCAGTATGTGGACTACATCAGTTCCCTCACGTGGACATGCCAGTGGAGACGTTGGTCTGGGCTTGTTGGAGCCATAATGCCCTTTAGATTAATAATGCCCATAACGTCTGGATTCCAGACTTAAGTGTCAGCAGGATGGGTGACCAATCGGATAGGTCCTAGACTAGGGTTTCTCGGGAGGAGGACTGAGGCCAAAAGGACAGATACCAACCGAATAAGATGTTGCAGCATCAGCGTCAGCTGCTCTTAATGGCCTTTAATTCATCCTTTTGAGGATCAGTTTTGGGAAGTAGCTATAGAACATTTTAGCTAGGGTTAAGGTCAAGGCGGGGGGAACAATCCAGGCTCGGTGAGACTGAGGAGCACCAGGATTCTGAACTGCAGATCAAGTGGACAGGTATGAGCTGCGGAGCTTAGCAAAGGCTGCTTTGGTGTATTCTCTGCCCTTAAAAATGTTACTATTTGATTGTAGAGGAAGAAAATAAGAAAAAGGGTAATAACATAAACCTAATCCAGAAAATCCCATTTAAAGCTCAGCCAACAGTTTTACACTTTCAGAACAGAACCAAGCTGAGTAGACCTGTTATCACCTACACATTTGTTCTTCCAACAGAGGCATTAGTCTTTCAGATCAACCCTATAGCCACAACTTTAAAGATCTTGCAAAAGGAACAGAACTTCTTTTGCAACGCCTGAGGGCCTCCTAACATCCTGAAGCCAGCCATATGTTATAGCTCCCAGGGTCCTCCCAAGACAGATTCCTGGCCACCGAGCACCATTATTCCACTTTTTCCACCAAAATTGAGTGTGTGCGTACACACAAAGGCCAAGCTCCTGGCTAAGCTCTTGGGGAAATAGACCTGCAAGGACAGACTAGCTCTTCCTCATAAAGCTGGACCACATCCATTTGACCTAAAATATAAACTAATATCGACGGCCTTAATGACGAGTATTCACTGTATTTCTCACCATACTCTCTTTCTACTTCACTGAAATAATAGCTTGAGTTTTCTTAAGCTTTTTTTCCTAATTGTGAACTCCCAGAGACAGTTCTTGTTTCTCATTCTCTCTGACCTCTCTCCTCTGTAATTTCCTCTTCATCATTGAAGACTTCTTCTTTGGATTTCCTCTCCATCATTTTCTGGACTCCACTTTGTTCTACATCTCTGCCTTCCTCTGAGACCCCTCTCTTTAAAACCGACTCAACTCTTTAGCTGCTAAATGGTGGCCTTTCCAGGTCACTGTGAGTCAAAATGGACTCAGTGGCAGCGGGTTTGGTTTGTTTTTGGTATCCTTGAAGCTATTCCCTATATACAACCTGTTTCATGCTCTCATTCACATTCCCACAATAGCAAATACTATCTATATCCCACACCCTGCCGTCGGATCCGACTCATAGCGACCCAACCTTGGGTTTCCGAGGCTATATCACTACAAAAGTAGTGATATCCTTCCTTCTAAGGAGTGGCTGGTGGGTTTGAACCGCCAACCTTCTGGTTAGCAGTCAGATGCCTTAGGCACTATGCCACCAGAACTCCGATCTGTATCCCAAGGAGTTCTAAATCTTCATTTCCAGCTCCTGAGTAGCAGACCTAAACACAAATTCTGAATATTTCATGGGCCCATCAAGCTCAGCACACTCAAAACATTGTCCAAAAATCTACTTCTTCACCAAATCATCTAAACTAGAAATCCACAACTCCTTCTACCTCATCCTCCTTAATTTAACCTACCAAATCTCATCAATTTTATCTCTTAAATATCTTTTTAATCTATATTCTATCCTTCATCCCTTAGCCAAGACTTTATCATATCTACCAGCCTCTCTTTCCATCCTGCTTCAGAGTTTTTTATAAAATCTAGATCTGAATGTGTTCCTTAAAATTCATCAAACATGAGCCTCTTTGGTGTGGTGTTTAAGGCTCTTTCCTCCTAATCTATTTACTCATTTTGTATACACAATTACCTATGGCATCCTATGGTTATGATTTATCTATGTGACCATCCCCTCTGCCAGCCTGCGTGCTCCTCCAGGCCAATGCTTACAAATGCACCTCATGTTTCACTTTTAACAAGCCAAGCCTGCTGTTCTCCCTCTTGTTTCCTTGCTTTCTCTCATTATGCTGTCCCTGGCATACTAATTAACACTCACTGAGGGCTTTCCACTGCCAGACACTGTTCTAAGCCCATGGCACATACTAACTCACAAAATCCTCACTTCAACCCTATGAATTATTGTCCACTGATTATGCCCATTCTACAGAGTCACTTTGAAGACTAAGGTGTGCCTGACCTGAACCATGGTATTTTTCAATAGCTCCGTATGCATGTGAAAGCTGAACAATGAATAAAGACTGAAGAAAAATTGATGCATTTGAATTGTGTTGGCAAAAAATACTGAAAATAACCATGGACTTCCAGAAGAATGAACAATTCGATCTTGGAGGAAGTATAGTCAGAATGATTCTTAGAAGCGAGAATGGCCAGACTTCATCTCACCTACTTTGGTCATGTTGTCACAAGACATTGGTCCCTGGAGAAGGATATCATGCTTGGTAAAGTAGAAGAAGGTCAGTGAAAAAGGGGAAGACCCTCGATGAGATGAATTGACACAGAGGCTGCAATGATGGGCTCAAGCATAGCAAATATTGTAAGGATAGTGCAGGACCAGGCACTGTTTTTGTACATAAGGTCTCTGGAAGTTGGTCCAACTTGATGACCCCTAACGACAACAACGGCACAGGGGAGGAAACTGATGCACAGAAGTTAAAAAAAATATGCCCAAAATTTCACAGCTAGTAAACGGCAGAGCTGGGATTTAAACCCAGTCTGACTACAGAGCCTACTCTCTTTAAAACCATGTTGTATTTCCTACCAAAACCTCAGGACTCCACTCAAAGACCCCTTCTCTGTGACCATCTCCTGATGTCATCCCTGGATTCCAGCAGTTGGGTATGTTTATTCTGTCCTTCTATGACACTTTGTGTACACAGTTTGTATACACAATTACCTATGGCATCCTACAGCTATGATTTATCTAGGTGACCATCTCCTCTGCCAGCCTGTGTGCTCCTCCGGCCAAACATCCAGGCGCCCTTATCTTTGAGTTCTCAGTGTCAAAGTGAGCACCTGACATATATAAGCTACACAGTAAAAGTTAGTTGAATAAATACATTTAAAACAGAAAGAAAAAAAGAAGATACCTAACTGATGGCTGTTAGTCCGCCTTAAGCCTGCACCTTTATTGTTTGTGATTGTAATGGAATGCCTGCCCTCCTTGGGAGATGTATGTTATAACGTGGTCAGATAAAAATGTGATAGAAGCTGCACCCATTACTGTACTTCAAACTACAGTACTGAATGTGAAATGGAGAATTATTACTCAATTGTCATTATTGAGAGAGAGAAACATACTTGCTAAAATTGTCCAGATTATTTTTAAGATGGAAAATAATCCTAAAATAAAGTATAAATTAAAATATTTGATTAATAATTATAATAAAAAGCTCTCATAACCATATTACTTAGTGGTCATGAAGTTTCAAATATTTAAGCCTTTGAATTTTTTTTTTTTAAGTACAGAATTTCTGAAGGTTCTTTCTATAGTGATAATCAAAGTGCAATAATAAGATGGAAACCACTAGCTGAAATCCACTATTTCTACACACACACACAGACACATATTCACTGTATGCCTATAGGCCCATAGACAAATTAATATGGAGTATTTGTAGATTTTGTAATTTTTCAAGGTAAGTAATCTAATTATTTGAAAAGAATTACTACTAACAATACTTAAAGATTCATAACTAAGATAAATAATATTCACTGATAAAATAGTCATAGTTTTGTGTGAAGAAATAGGAATTTATACTTTAGAATCTGTCTTTTAGCAAAGAGAAAGAACAAAAGTCATCTGAAAAGACAGCTTGCTAGCATTTCTGGTAAACCATCTATCTAAAATTAAACCTGCAGGATAATTATGTATACATAGTGACAGTTCAAAGGCACTAGTTTGCAATGTACAGCCACCACCACCCTCCCACACTTAACTTGGGGTGGACTCAATTTTGCTAAACATTTACATAAATGTGCTTATTGGATTTGAGATTGCCTATTTGTAAATATATAAGATTAAATGAGACTGAACAACACAACATAGTTAGGTTTGAGTAAAGCATGGTGGTAAGGTCTTGTCAATTCAGAATTATAATTTTGTAAAGGGTGTTCCTGAGTTCACACCAAAACTCCTAGGTCAAAGTGGGAGAAGAAGTCAAAGACTTCTGGCTCTTCCCTCCCTGACTGCCCAGGACTCTTTTCCCCACATTCTGAACAATTCTAAGAGGAATCCTTAATCAGGGACAAAGACATCAACTTCAGGGAATGTCTCTAGGAAACTGGACATCATTTGTCCTCTTTGCACTGAAGAGCCAATAAAAGTGGAGTGAGTCACCTTCTAAA